TCTACAACTACCTGCTACTACAGTACCAAACCATTCCCCCCCCCCCCTCTCCTTCCTGTTGAATGGTGGACAACCATCTCACTTGCAGAAAATCTCCATTAGAAGTCCATACTTGTTTTGCTGTTTTTCTTTTAAGTTCCCAACAAAACTGTCCTTTGTCCTTCATTTTGTTGTTGTAATAAACACATTAGCCATGTGGTATTTCTTAAACCCTATTCCCTTTTCCTGGGCGCCTATCTCAAGACAAATTTCCCGTCAAATCAGCTAGTACTGTATTTTGTAAAAGAACATGCACGAACCTGACATAATAACTATACAAGCAAAAAAACAAACAACAATACTTCATCTAACACCTATTTATCTTTAATTAATTCATTGAAATGTAAAGAGACTTCTTTTACCTTACTAATACAAAAAGCAGTTAAAGGTGTTACTCTAAACCAGTCTGCACAACAACACAATAAATGTCATTAAGGCCTGAGAAAACGTCAGAGAGACAGACAGAACCTACAGTAAAAAAACAGCACAGACTTCCCCAACATCATCACCAGACTACAATATATATAAATCAGGGCTACTACATGTAGAGACAAAGCAAACACACTCCTCTGTTTGTGTCCTATAAACACATGAACATTTTATGCCCCTCATGAAAATGGAGTCTGAACGGAGACCTAAAATCTCAACAACAAGTATCTCCCATACTACTCATAGAGCTTGAGTTGGAATTTGAGTTTGTATTTGAGTAGAGTGAATTCATTGACACAAGAAAGGTTATTCAACGCAGGAAAGAAGTAGGTCCTACAAATGTCACGCTCCAACCACTCTCATACTTGATGCAGTATTATATCACCTAATGAGCTAATGAACATTCAAAGAATACAGATTCTCCATAATCAGTGTGCACATTTTAGGACTTGTCAGGACAAATGTAATCCATTGACACCACAACCTCTGTAAGCCATCTCCATCTCATTCCGTAAGTAAAAATTCCAGTTCTCGTGCCCTATTGAAATGCTTCAACAGTTACACAGTAAGAGCCACAATAATTGTCCATAAATATACTGCACTGTGATATCCATCACATAGAAGAAGTGCTGAACATATCATGTGGTAACTATATCATTATGCAAGAGTCAGCTGATCAGCCTTGTACTTATACAGAGAGTCTATGGAATTGGAATCATCAGATTCCACCACTATTCTAGAAGGCAAAAAGATGAATTCAAATTCAAGTAACACAGAATAAACAATTCAAATTCATGATACCTACAAAAAGACATGCGGGACTAAAGAAAACACTGAGCGAGGGACAAACATCCACCAAGGTACATGTGTGAGAACAAGTGTACAGGAATGCATAGAGTACAGAGACCAGAATAATATGACATTTTTCATTTTCTAATACCCCCATTATGATAAGTACAAAGTAAACAGTGAGGATATGGCATAGAATTGTGTGCACCTGACCAGCAACATTTTACTGTTGACAACCAAGGGACTTTATTGCACATGTGAATATTTTCTTATAGAAATGACAGTCATTGATACATATTTACAAATATTTACATGTTTCCAGGAAGTATTTTGGGGAGGAGGGGGGGGGGGGGGGGGGGGGGGGGGTCATACAGCCTTGAGCTCAAAATCACCAGGTAGACTTACAACTGTTAGAAATGAAAAATTGCAAAAAATGCGCTTTTATTGTTAAATGTATGATAAGAAAAACTGAATTTTACTAGCCATCCCACATACGCTATGGTCTCTTAGAGTTTTGTTTTGACAAAAACAAGGAATCAGCCAATATCTCAATACTTACCATTTAAAAATCTCAAATATTGAGTTAAAACCACACTATTGTATAGCATGTCAAGCAAACTGTTCTGTAGGCTCAGTGGGGCACAAAGTTTAAGTCATAAATTAAAAAGAAAGTTTCAAAAATTGAACATCATCCATTTTATTCACTCTGTGTCTTTGAGAAAGAGAGAGAAAATTCTTGAGTTGTGCGACCCATACATCCACAACAGATAACTTAAAGGCATCTATCTATCCATGCACTTAACAGCTGTATCAATTATTACACACACAGCATAATCATAGGCAGAAGCTACAAGTAATAAAAGAAAGGATTTTCAATATATAGTCAAACATAAACAGTCAACTTTGTTTATTGAGAAACTATTGCATCATAGAATGTTCTTTCTTGCTGAGGGCTCAGAGTCTCTGTAGGGTTTCCACATTTCTTTTAACATTCATTTTAAATTTAAAAGAATCACTCCCTGCCATGGTTTCTTTAAAATGATAATAGGTCAAGAACAATCTGTTACAAACAAAATACCATATTTCAATGTCACTGTACACTTCTCCATGAAAATTCCCAGAGGCAAAATAGCTGAATCCTAAAATGAACGTGACGGTTTTCTTTCTGGGACTCAATACTAAGGACTAAACTAACAAACCTGACATCATTCAATTCCAAACACACTTTGTATTAGTTTTGATTCATTGCCTTTTTGCTTATACTGGAAAGGCAAAAAGTTGCAAAAAATATGAACCAACAAATGCCATAAATGGGCATGGGAAAGAAAATGCAAGCAGAAATTTTTATTTTTTTTAAAAGCCATTGCATTTTAATCAGTTGAAGAAGTTCAGATGAAAACAATGATATACTATGATAGCATACATAATCTGGGTAGAGTGGGATACAGAATCACAGAAGACAGATGCACATACTTTATAGAATAACTTTGCTATTCATGCAAAGCATAAATGTTCATTACAACAGCCGTCATGTTGTGTGTGTGTGTATGTGTATGTGTGTTTGTGTGAGTGTGTGTGGGTTGGTATAAGTATGCGTTTGAGTATATGAGTGTATGTGTTCCTTCAAAGACTCATTCAACGCCCAGTCACAGTTCCCAACTTAATGTAAATTTTCCAAAGACAAATTCTTACTCAACAAAAATCCTCAACCGTCTCAACAAATCCAAGTTCTTTACTAAATATGATAAATTGACAAGTCTTTAACATGCACATCTGGCATTCATGAAGTCTTAGTTAAGTATTAGTATTAGAGTTTACAGTGCCAACATTTATGTTACTGTATGTGTAAAATACAGACTGATATGTGAATTGATTTTATATTACAAACTTGTAGATACTTGGAAAAAGGAAGAACATTCAATGAGAAGGAAGAAAGAAGAGGAGGTAAATGTCTTGATAAAAATAAAACCAATCAAACTTTGATGTTTTAGGAAACTCCACGAGAAATAGAACTTGTTTCTGAGTACAGCTTAGATCAGAATGTAACTGTTTCAATTGCAGCATGTAAGACTGACCACTCATCTTTAAGGAGTAACTGTATCCACACAAAAATTGTGAACAACGCTGAAAATTTAAATCCACAACTTAATCTAAGAATTCAAGTGTCTCTCGATTCAAAAACTGCAATATAAGCACAATACATAATAAATCATGACAACCGTGATGCAAACTGGTGCTGAAGTATGAAGGTCTAAAAACATGAAATAGTTCTACTGCATCACAAGCCCCTTATACAAAGTCACAGCTGATACTGGTTGCATCGTGCCATCCTCTCCTCTGGCTTTTCATTTACTGATCTAGAAATAACAGAATTGAAGAGCAGCACAGAATAAGGTGACTAGCTCAACTAGCTGCACAAAATCACACAACATAATAAATCAGCCATGTCATCATAATGGGCAAATGTTTCAAGAGAGTATTCAATATTGCACACAGATGACTGTACATTCAACATGGACATTATAAGTATTTATCATTTGTTTATGTTTCAAGTAAACATCCTGCCAAACGCAATCTGTCATTTGAAAGCGGAGTACATGGATGGTGCACTGACAGTTCACCGGGCTGAGAGGAAACCTAAGAGGAAAGACTAAACAATTTCAAAACCAATTCAGATTCACCCTCCGACTTCAAAGTGGTGGATGAAATTATTGAAATTCATAACTGACCAAGCCACAGATAAAGGGTTTAAAACTGATGAAATGAGACTGACCCTACAAAGGTTCAGCACATTCTTGAGCAAAACAAACTTCTAAATCTGAGCATACTTTGACCTGTCCTCACAAATTCCTTCACAGTAAGCCCTGTCACATACCTCACCTGACCCCATTCTTGACCATATGAGACAAATCCACATTTACTTTCAGCCTGATTGCGCTACATTGCGACAAACCAAATATCAACTGTCAAAGTTTTAAGGAGATACATACTGCGATTAAACTGAGAGGTGAACACTTGTGTATTCCTTACCATTTCCAACAATTTAAAGCAATACTTTTTAATGCTACTCTCAGAGAGTCAAGTTCCGTTTCATTTTGGATAAAAACAAACCAGTAGCATTACAGGATCAGGAAATTCATGGTTATAATTTTTCCTGTAGAAAAGAAGAAAAGGTTTTCAGAGATAGAATTCTGAATCTGATCACAAGCCC